AAAAAAAAAAAAAAAAAAAATTGTGAACTTGTATGTTTGTAAACACACTCACGACAGGCGAAAATCCTACTGTGGGGCAACGTGTTTTTTTTTTAATATACTAATATTAGGGCAATCGTAGGTCATGCAAAAAACCCAAGTTGAAACACTATCTCCATGGTAACAACTAATAAACTGTGGTAAAACAAAGAATATTAACATTTGCGTATGATTCACATCTTATATAATAGTACAATGATTCGATTCACCTCTGTTGGGTAAGACTATTGACACTTATTAAGCACATACGTGGCTGTTGACTTTTTACAAGGAGATAATTAATGTATTTTATTTAATGTTAATATATGTACGTATAGTGAGTTGACGACATTAAAATTATTCTTTCTTTATTGTTTACTTACATCATTCATGAATGGTTTAAGTTGATTGAGTTTTAAGAGAAAATTGTTCAATTAAAAGTATCCTTAACCGACGAGCATGCTTGAAAAGATTGATGACTGTTGATGAAGCGAAAGATGTATGTGGGAATCTTAGCAATTGGTGTTTCGTAGTCTGTGCCTACCCCAATGGGAGACAGGCGTGAAGTTATGTATGTTGTTAAATGGGAGATATTGTTATTGAACATGACTACTTGTGTTTACCGAGGACCTTTAGGCAAACAGACCCGTATTATATAAAAGATTTTCATTACAGAGTGATTGTCGGTCACAACTACGGTTCGTAGAAACTTTCTACGAAGAAGAAGATGAAGAAGAAGAAACTTTCTAGAAACCTTAAAGTTCAGTAGTGCAGAGTGAGAACCGGGGATTTTTACACACATACGAAGAACGTGCAGAGGTGCACATTACGACACTTAATGCCACATTCAAGAATCACTCTATTCACATAACATAATATAACATCACGCCTGTTATCTCCGAAGGGGTAGGCAGAGGTGTGTAAGTACATTATGCCACTGTACAATGTAACACCCATTTTTCACTATTTATGTTATGAGTTCCATGTAATAGGGGGTGAGCCTATTGCCATATACCGGACACAATTCCAGACTCCGTGCTACTACTAAGAATTTATAAAATACACAGTAGTATTTTGCCCGACCCGGGTATCGAACCCGAGACCCCTTGTCCGGCAGTCGCACTAGCGACCACGCGGCCAACGAGGCAGCTCATTTACTTTTAGTTTTACATAAAACGTGAACTTTGTTTCAAAATGTGTAGTATCTAAATTGAAATGAATAGGAGGTAGAAGCACTGGCCACTGACCGCATCCCGTGGGTCCCAGGAGCAGCACGTTGCTCTTGTCGAGGCGCAGCTCGTGGTGCTGGCGCTCCAGCACCTCGGCGCCGCCGCTGGTGGCGCCGTGGCTTAGGTGGAGGAGATCTGGAACGTTTTACAACACACTTATTTATACACATATTTTAACAACATCATCACGCCTTTTATCCCCGAACGGTTAGGCAGAGGTGCGCATTACGGCACTTAATGCCAACGTACAATGTAACACCCACTTTTCACTATTTATGTTATGAGTCCCATGTAATAGGGGGGGTGAGACTATTGCAATAAACCGGGCGGGCACATATCTAGACCGGATGCTCCATCCATGCTCCTACTGAGAATTTATTAAAGAACCCGAGGCCTCTTGCCCGGCAGTCGCACTTGCGACCTATGGACCAAAGAAGCAATCTTTTATTTGTTATCAAGAGTAATAAAGTTCCTTATTTACAAAAAATAGTAGATAAATGATAGAAGATTATATACAGTTGAAATTAGGATATTCAGTAAGTAAGTTTGATTAGCAGAAAGACTCAAATTGATATTAATTGATGGCAAGACATTACTAGTTATGGTACTTCTTAGGACATCGTAGAACAGTAAACATACTTTAAATAAACATTCAGTTTTTATAATTATTTGAGTATAGTCGTCTGAATACCTACATTTTACGACCTTTTTGTTTAGAAGGTGACCTCTATCTTCCTGCCTGTAAAACTGTTCAAACAAATGACACACGAACGCTAAGACTTTTTTTATTTTAAAACTATCTTTTACTCACGGTTTCGCTCGCGTAGATTACGGACTTGTGACTAACCCACGAAATGTCAACCCCTATTTTCAATCCTGTGCGATTCTAGATATTTTACTAAACCCATAATGTAAGTTATATGTACTACTAGACTACTACAAACTTCGATCCCTATTTCACTCAATATTGAGTAAAATTTCCAGAATACCTGTAACTCTTATATTGTTTTAAATAATTGTCGTTCTTTTAAATTGTATACAGAGTTAATTTTGTTAATTTTTGGCATTTTTTGCGTAAATTCATCCGCGTAGCATTTTGTTGGACAGAACTTATTTATTCAATTTTTCAAAACAAATTATAGCATATGTATCATATTGTTTTTTATATATATTATTTATTTTTTTTAGTATTCTTGTATGTATGTATGTATAGTATTTTATACAGATATTAATTAATGTACACTCGACGACCCATTTCAGACTCCTGTTGCTGCTCCATCCAAAGGCTGTCTGTAAGAAATCGCCTTGTGCGATAAGACCGCCCATTGTACACTATTTTGGTTTAGGAAATATTGTCCTGTATTACAATTGTGTGGTGTACAATAAAGCATATATTATTATTATTATTATAGCCTATGTTGCCCCAGTAAATTAGCTATACAATAAATAGAGTTACATACTGCAAAGTGCAGATGTTAAATGTGATCAATTTCAAAAGTTACGGATATATAATCCTACTATGTCCTACACACCACAGTTAAACTGTGAACTACCAATGAGCTTGTTAAAAACGTAAATAAACAATTTTACTTGGCATTTCTCTCAAACACTTACTCGATATTCGTGTTTACGTTCATCGTGATTTTTTCTAACAAAGGATAGTCTTATTGCCAGCTGTTTACATTTTAGTGCCACCTACTAGTATCGGACATAAATCTAGACTTCATGCTTCATAATCCAGGCGATAGAATTGCGGCAGTTGTTGCCTAGGTGCAATAATTGGTGCATCGGTCATTGATTCGTCACAGATGTTACCATTTGTGCAATATCTTGTGCAAAGTTGCCATATTACAAAAATGTACTAAATCGACGATTGCGCAAGCGTACATCAGTGTTTTGTAGTGAAAAAAAAAATATGTTTACTGTTAAACAGCTATTATTCGGGTAATTCAAATAGTGAGAAATACATAAATATTACAACATCCGCAAATAATAATAATTAACAATATAAATAAACAGCAAAATCTTGAGTATAATATTATTGGGTAGTTTACGAGTAATAACAAAACCTTAGGTGAAACCTACCTATCTTTTTCGACATTTTTCTTTAGTAGCAGATACAATACATTTGTGACAGCAACAATGTGAACGTTTTTTAAAACCCAACAGATTCAACAAAGCGAAATCGGAAGCGTGAAAACACTAACGAATAAGGCATAGATTGCTCTAAGAAAAAATCTGTCGTAAGGTCACCTGCCCACTGAAGCGTAATGACAACATCTTTAGAACATTCGTCACACTTTCACGTAAACTATTGACAATTGTTTTCAGTGAAAAGCATTTGCGCTCGCGACGCTTTACGGCGATCTAGTCTAAATGAGGCATTATGTACTTTCCAACTTTTTTTTTTGTTTCTAAAATTGGAGTCGTGAAAATTTGTTAAAATGTCTTTGTTGTCTGTGGTTCCGTGATTGTTTTTTCAATAAATTCTATTTCGAAATGTAGGTTAAAATACCTGTCTATGAACAAATAATAAACATATAACAAACGTATAATAATTAAGTAGTATTATGTACTCGTTGTGTAAATTACCGAAATAATTGCCTCGTTACGATTTATCATAATAATCGTACTTTTGTAAAAGTAATTCAATTACGATATTATTTACTTATACCATTACAATTCTCACGAGTCAATGCAAAATAAAATAAGATAGTGAGAAAGGCGTATTAATTGGCAATAAGGCCTTGCTGTAATATGAATAATATTCTATAGTTTATTCAAAAATATCAAGGTTTTTGATAAGAATATTTATGTATAAAGTGATTTTAATTATTATAAATTGCATATACGGTCAACCTCTACTCGTAATATGTCAGACACCATTCACCTGTCTTTAGTTAAATTATCTAGAAATAGCATAGGCTACAATCCAATCTTCATCGTATCTATTACGGTAATAAAATTACAATAGGCCGAGAAGATCGTCTGCATCGCTATACACATGGAACAAGCTGAAGGCTACCTTTTGCCAAATGCTCATTCAAAATATAAAGTGTTGCTTTTAGGGGAGGACTAAGTTCAGCTGTGGACGTCCTATGGCTGATATGATGGTGATGGTGACGGTTCTTACCTCTGTGCGTGTGATGTAAGGGATGGTGAGCATCTGCCGGCGTGACGCTGGTCACGTTGTTGTAGATCCTCTTGTAGTGGTTGTACACAGCCACAGACAGCACCTTCTTAGCGTACTCCTGACCCACAACGTGTTTGTTTAGGTATTCGAAGATTTTTTTAGGAGGTGGCGGAGGTTTTCTGTGTGAACAAAGAAATAAGGGGTTCATTATTATGCCTGGTGGGGAGATTTGTTCCGCAATAAAAAGCAGCTTAATGGTAACGGATCTGCATAGAATATATAGCCATAAATAAATAGAGTATAGGGCTTGCCGCCTATCATTCCACGCCAGGAACACGTATGGTTCCCGAGAAATAAGTCAACTGGGATACAGTTCAGTCAGGCCAAGTATTACTTATTGGGTTTTTCTACTTAGAAATCTTCAGTAGGTGACAAATAGGTGACAGACGTGCTTTGTGGTCATTCCAAAACAAAATCGATACAACGAAATCAACTGATTCCAAGTTTTCGAGGAAAACTTACATTTATACATACTCTTTCGTGATTTTTTCATCAGAAAGTGAACGCATAAATATGTATGAGACGAGATGCACGTGATTCAAAGAAAACCACAAAAGTTTAAAGCTTATCCGCCATTTTACGGGTTCACCGACAAGGATACCGCGGCCCTACATTATTAAAGAGTACGAGTGAAAGTTTAATCCTTTTAACATGACACACGAACGTTCATACCTTCCGTCTCATTTTACGGCCTTTTGTGAAACAAGACAACTTGGAAAGCGAGCGACAAGGAAATCATGACTGATTTCCATAAAAGATACAGATTTATTGTACAAAAAATCTTTAAACTTCAAGTAAATAATGAGGATATGATTTATGAGTCATCGGCCGCAGTAAATGAATATATTTTATCGGTTGATATTATGCTAACCTGTAAATCATTAAAATAATGTACTAAACGTGTCGGAAAACTATTTAACTTACTTAATTGCATTTTGTTTTGTTTTTCCGCAGATAAAATTGCGATAGGGGCAAGATAAAGAAAGATATGAAAATGCGACCGTAAGGCTGTCTGGCAACTACAGATAAACATATTAAAACCGTGTTTACATACACTATTACGTATCAACATTTACATAATGATCTTATAATAGGAAAATTTACATGAGAATTCAGTAATTTTTAACCTTCAAGCGGGCGCGCGTAGTCGAATCGACCGCGGTTAATACATTTTCGTTCGTATTTTTATTTTTAGTTGTCACATGCATTTCTAATTTCTAGTAGCCTGTCACTATCTTTTTAGGAGTAAAATAAAAACTATTTCGTTGCTTGAAGCGATCTCTACACTCCACAAATTACAATTATTTAGGCTCTGGCGCAGTCGTTGAAAAGACTACACGCGCCTGTCGTCGAATAGGTTACGCGCGACGCCCAACGCGACATACACATGTCAATATTATCTAATTCAGCTTGGAGTTTTGGTGTTTTAAAGCATTTTTTGTTTAAATAAGTCGTTTATGGTTATCGCAAAGTACAGTAATCGAGGAATTACAAAGAGAAGACGAAGAAGAGAGTGAATCAGAGCTTAGCAACCAAGGCTCTGAAACTTCTCATCACATAGTTTTAGAAGAACATTTATCTGATGTGATATCATCCTTGTCGGATTTAGATGAGAATAATTTGTAGCTTTCGGTAATAAATAGCTGTTTTACAGGACGCGATAAAGTAACGAAGTAGCAAAATCTGAAAAATTACTAGAATACTGACTCAGACGAAAATAAAATCAAAATTAATGAGTTTTTACAGTTTTATCCTTACTTTTTATTTATTTTTTGGTCTACGTATATAAACCAACCTAACATATGTAAACGGGTCTTAATTTTTATTTTGATCCAAAGAATATTTGAGTTACTTTAGGTGACTTAATAATTGCTTCTTTTTCATAATTTTAATTACTTGTTGTGACAAATTTCTCTTTAAAGACAATGATATTGTATCTTAGTACAAATTAATAAATGATTATCCCATAATTATTGCTTTCTTGGTCTTATTCATCCCATAGGTCTATTCGGTTACGCGCGCCCGCTCCCGTTACAAAAGACCGCGCGCCCGCTTGAAGGTTAAGTAGAATCGGAATACTATGGGTCTTGGAAACAAACCGAAATTCAAAGTTGGTCCCAAAATCGTAACCTGGGTAATCCCAAGTGCTGTTATAAATTCAAACAACGTACCAGTTGAATACATAATCAAAATTACAAGTATTACATTAAGTGTTAAGGAAAAATTCACCACTTAATTATAATTTGAACTGTGTCTTAAAAATGATGTGGCTATAGCATATCTCTATGAGTAAAAACAAACTACGCAAATAAATTTTGTGTTCTAATGGAACCAGCAATAAAAGCGTCATTACAATGTCGTCGGGTCGATGGCTTCACGTTGGGATTTAAGTGAAAAATTGCTATTTATTCAATTCAATGTGACTTTGAATCTGCGGCTACAGAAAATACCGAGCGTCAATATGTATGTATTGTATTTTTGCAGTACCTAACACGTTTTAGTTTGTGAAAATTATCTATAACGCTATGGAAACATCAAAGCTAAGAAATGTGAACCTTTTGCCCTTCAGAAACGGTAAACTGAGGTAAATTGGAACAAGTGTCACGTCTGTGATACATAATTTAACATACAATTTCCTTAAGATTTAAATTTTCCTTAAAAAGATTGAGAGCAACAACCTTTTTAATAAAACATGCGTATCGCTACTATTTGTTTCGGAAACCTTCGTTTTCATGCGTCTGATAAGTGGAGACGTTCAATGAACCATGTATTTATTTAGGGCTGATGAGAAATAATAACATTTCACATATTACCATGTACCCGTCTTATGCAAAATAAGGTACATTTTAATAGTGATTTATTTATTTAAAGCAGTATTTGCGCCTCATCATTAATTATGTGTTTATGACAAATTTCGCACCCATTTTATGAATTAAACTACATATAAAATGGATCAATGTTTGGTTATCTTTGTGTTACTTTCGTTAACCGTGTAATCAAGTAATCATGTATGAATCAACGACATTGTTGATTATAGATAACCCGATTATTATAGTAGCCAACAGCTTCATGGCTGATAAGCTGTCATTAAGCGACTGAACGTTGTATTACTACAGAATAAATATCTTTACACGGATGTGATTACTGCAATTTTGTACGGACGCATTTTCAGCCAAATTGACACACCAGTGTGACTTTTTAGTTCAACAACCCTAGCACAATATTAAGTGTTCCGATGTAAAAGCAAGATAGATGAGTTTATTGCTTGGTCATTGTTGCCCGAACACTGTATACATTATTCATATGTATTTCACACCTTTGTGTGTGTTCTGGCAATTTTTATGATCGTTGTTTATGCGGCGGGCGGACGAATCTGATTGTCTGATTTTGATGAGAATCCAAATTTTTTAGAACGTGTTGTGTTCGACAGACCATTGAAACTAAGTGTATTCAAGAATCTTGAAAGTATTGCACATTGTTTGACTGCGATTTCTAATATTTTAAAACTTGGTTATAAATAATATCAACTCCACATGCTTTATGAAGGTAAAGAATCGGACAGGAAATCGAGTGACACTGACAAAATCTTTCCGCCATTTTACTTTTTTTATTGGGAAGGAAATCAAATACTTCGTAGGTATCTACCTATATTTCCTCAATTTCACTTTATTCATTATATCTATTACGTGATAATTAACAAAACAGCTTAAAAAACAAACTACCTATCATCGTAACTTAAGTCAATCTAATTTGGCAGCAAATCACGACAGGATACAGGAAACCGTATTTTGTGCAAATTCGAACGTGTTGAGCACACTGGCATCATAATGACGGACAAGTTATAAGTCTTATGACCGAGAGTAGGTACTAGCGAAATATACTTGTGAAATCACTAAATCGATTAGATCTCATAATTAGGAAATGTCAGTTTAATTTTGACAGAACCTGTTTGAAGAGAGATTTAATTGCAATTTTTGATCTTATTATTTGATTGGTCTATGATTTATATTAGGTGTGTAGCTACTGTACGATTTTTGAATAGTAGTATTAAAGTAAGCTAAAATAAATAAAGTTTTCTTTGATTTTAGGACCAATAACTTTGTAAAATATTACGTGTCAACAACAGTCAATGGACACAAATCATCATTAACTTGAGTTATAATTTATCACCTGGCAACACTTTACGGAACCGTTACGTTTAAATAATAACTAATCGGTATTGTGAATGTTTAGTTGGTTTTATTGCTTGGCTTTCCTTCACTATTATTTTCGTATTAGGTAAGTCTTATATGAAAATAACTTAATAATTATTATACTAAGTCATTGTAATAACGTGTAACCTGTTCTCTATAGCTGCTAAAACCTAAAAATACTATATTTAAATTTTTGCTTACATAATTTACAAACTGTTTTAGGCTTACTTCTCTACATGTTTAGAGTTCAAATTAATTTAGCTCACCTGTAGAATCCAGACTTATTATCCGCATTATCTTTAATGCTCTTCTTAGTGTCAACCTCACTGAGCACCACAAAGAAGTGGTGGCACTTATCACACTTGACGAACCGTGTGGAGCTGACGAAGGTCTCGACGTGGGTGCAGGGGTCGCCGCACTTTGGGCACGTGAGGACTCCATTGTTGTTACCAGACCCTGACTTTTTGCCACCTGATGATGAACCTGAAGAGAAAGATATTGCATGAAGAAAATTGTGGTGAGTTATAGCTGCAGTAATTTCAGCGAAAGTTAGAGATGCGAGCCGAAAGTACGGAATAAGTAATAGAACTACGGATAGTAGTGTAGCTTCACAGCTTTCTCCAACAACCTCACTGCTGTAAGTACAACACGAAATTACTCTTGTCACTTACAAAATGATGACAGAAATTATATAAAGTTAACAAAACAAACATGTAATTTAACAAAATGCTGTTGCATAAAACATTACCTACATGGCAATGAACTATAAGTACACAGAGAATAAATAATTTAGCGTGCAATCGCCTCGCCATCTAATGAGATAGTCTAGCAATTTTAGGCATTGCAAAGAACCCATTTCCTTCAATTAATGCCTGAAAACGACCTTCAGGTAGGCAACTAGATACTTGAAACAGGCTTTTACATTAGGCTTGCATTAAGTGACCTTTTTGTGCACTAATGAGCTCAAGGCTGACTATAGTCAATCAAAGAACTCAGCCTAAAGAGCGCTAGGTGACTGGCTAGTGGATATATGCAAATAATGAGGTATCTAATAGATCTAATAAGGTGTATCAATGTTACGAACATATAGTCAACGAATATATAGCCAATAATATTTTTTACGGAATAGAAGGGAATAGAAGGAAAGGAAAAAAGGAATATGGAAGAGAAAATCACCTGATGGTACCTAAGCGGTCAGCACCGCTCATGGAAATCCACAACACCAATAGAGTCACAGGTGCGTTGCCTACCTTTTAACAAGGAATACGCAATTTTCTTGAAAATGTATGTCTTATGGGGACTTCTCACCTGCATTAGCAGCTTCTTTTGGAGGGTGTGAGTGTGGTGGTCCGGGTGGTTGCTCGGTGGGGCTCTTGCACAGCACCGAGCAAGTGCTGAACTCTCGAGGGCACGTCCGTCGTAAAGTACGACATTGTTGAGCACCTGTTGACAATGAAAAAAACATTATCTAACTGACTTTGACTGCTTTAGAGGTCGCTGCCGCGATTTAAGTAAGAGGTCTTGTGATTTCTTGTATTATTATTTTATTATGCTAATAGATTTAATATTTACCATTTGCGAAGTTAAATACGTAGAGTCTACGAATTATCATACTTTTTTATTTACAATAAGTAGATTCAAACACTCGAGAAAGATGAGAATTGCAAATGCATTTTTGTCTTCAATTCACGTACACTTTTTACAAAATGAAATCTAGAAATTGCAAAATCTTTGTTACTTGGTAATTTTAACTTTCACGCAATCATAAAGTTGTTACACATTTTTGTTTTATGTAAAATAATCGACGATGATACTTTCCCCGTCTCTCCCCTGACAAAAAAGATTGCTAATTCCGATAAGCAATCTTTTAACACGTACCTACAATTATTTTAATTCAATATTTTACTAACGAACTACACGACAAAGGCATGTGCAACTAATTGGAAACTCGAATAAGTAATGGACATATTTCATAACTATCACCTAAGACTGACTGACTGCGAACAGTGATACTGGACGCCCCGGAGTAGGCATAACAATCTATAATTTTATTCAAAACAAAACCAGTAACATAATAGTAAATTATTTATGTCTAGAAAACATAAAATCACTTACATTTTAAACTCGCAAGGTCACAGAACCGGTAGATCGCTCATTCGGGTTTTTGCATATTCAAGGTGATTATACAAAGTTAAATTTTGAATAAATGCATTGACTTATGTTAGTTTTATTGAAATTATTCGAAGATTTTCCTTCCTATTGAACTTGACATTCAATACTGTACGTAAACGCAATGTTTGACTTTATTCAATGCTAAGACTCTGCTAATAAATTGATGACTACTTAGATAAAACTTATTTTCAACGCTTTTGTTCTAGTATTTTCAGTTATCACAGGACCAATGGAGATTTTAAACCTATACTTAGGTGTATTTTTAATTTGCAATTTGCGTGATAATTTCGACTATTATGCATTCGATGCGTAACCCAAAAATCCGAATATCGTAATGTAATCGACATTAAAATGCTAATTATTAAAAACAAACGTGTTTCGATTCAAAAACAAAAAAGTTGTTCGAGAAACTGAAGGATCATCTTAGTGTGTAAGAGCGTTTCTTGAGGAAAAACGAAGGATTGAAATGATGTAACCAAAGCTCTTAGCGTTTACTAGGTACACCTAAAGCTAGACATTTAGCATTGCAGTATTGTGTGTACACAACTTGGCGCCACTGTAGCAGGACACAAGATATTGTGCAACAACTTTGCTCAAATTATACACTAATAATATTTTAAATAACCACAGATTACTTAAGCCTCGTTTCGTAATATATACTTTTGCTTTCTTTAAGTGTATCAAATTGGCATAAACAAACAACCACGCGGTTATATTTGGCAATAACCGACGCTTAGTCGACATCATTATCAATTATAGTCTAGGAGCTCGGGTGCCAATTTTGTTGCGGTTCCCTCGGTTCCAAAATAATGGCTTTATAACACGAAGAAAAAAAAAACAAAGGACAAAGGAAATCGTAATCACGATAGCTTTTCACTCTAATTATGCATAGTTTACAAGACGATAGATGGTCATGGTGTCTGAGAAATGGATAACAATGGAGACTATTGTTCGTGGTCATGTCATTTTACTTTCCTGCTTAACTAACATCAGCATTGTTGGCGATCCAACTGTGAAAACAGTCTCTTCCAACCTTTCTAATGTGTGCTATATCAAAGGTAAACATTGTAATATTTATGGAACCACAGTACTAGGTATCTAAGAGCCGGTTGGCAATTGTATCGAAACGTATTGCAAAATATTTTAAGGCTTTATTAATGTGATGTTTCAAAATGGTTAGAACCTAATTAAAATTTAATTTTCCAAGAACAGATTGCAATGAAAATACTACACTATTCAGTGCTTGAAAAAGACCTTGGCTTGAAGTAAACTACATGTTTAACATGGAAATGAACCAAGATTATACAATGAGAACCAGTATTCAAATATTACAAATTAAGCCCATTTAATTGCAGCGAGGTTATATTATGAAGTTCACAATTTGATATGCTGATGCGTTATCGGTCATTTAAATATATTATGTAAGCATCTTGCAGGTCATTCAAATGACTGTTGAAGATTTCTTTGTAAATGCCATGGCAATGAATAAAATATTTCGGATGTATTGTTTTCTATTGGCCTGTAAGGATTGTAACGTATGAATGACGAAGAAAACTGGCTGTCGACAAATATTGCCAATATTAAACCGTCAAACACCGCGCGTACTCAACGAGTAAATAGTAAAATGTTGCTTTATATTCTTTCTAAGCAGAATAACAAAAATACAGTAATTGTAGGTTTAGTACAATCCCATCATAATTTCTTTTAATAAATCACGCCGAACAACACGCCATTCGAAGGCCGTGTGATTACAGCGATAAAAATGAAAATAACAATGGAAATGAGTTATCTTTATCCATTGCAATAATCTAGTTTATCACTGATTAATAAAATTAATAATAGAATCCATTTCGCAGTAACTTTCCAGTCCAGAAGTACAGAGCTACTGAAGAGAAGAGGTCAAATGGAATGACACCGTGACATCTCCATAAACCAGAGGTCATATTATCATCATTAACATAAAACCACTTCATTATACTTCACCACAACACCATTAAAATTGACAAGTGATTTGTTCGGATACAACTACAAAAACCTTAATAACCTTGGCCCAATTCGAAGCAAGAACCTGATTCGAAGTAAAGGAATCTTCACTGATTTTCGGTGTATGTACAATTAATTGCGATTGTTACTGCTTAATATCCTTCAGCTTGATGTCAAGGTAATAATGTTGTGCAACTCCAAGTGGGTTAAAAACTTTTTCATAAGACTTTTACGGACAAGGATTGAAGACTACTGATGGCCTTTAGTGCCTACGGATTTGGTAATTCAGAGTTCGCTTGTTGAAAAAATGGTTAATATTCTTTGTACGTAAATACAAAGAGATGCTAATTGATCAGGCCCCAGTATATTAACTTTTGCAACTGTAATATAGTATGAATGACTTCAAAACAATCGATCAAATCGCACCGTTAAAAATTAATATTAATGCATTTAGTAACAAAATTGTATATTTTACGATAACTGCTTTAAAAGTATTGTTTATCAACACAAAATGGCGAATCATTAAAAACGGTTTATAAATCAATGTCAGTTGCGTTTCAAGTTTAAAGTTCGTTCATTGAAGTTTATCAAAAACTCCGCACTTATTTTTTTATCGTGGTCTGAGATCCACTTATTACGCATTTGTCTTATCAAGTAATATGCAAACTAGAGAATGTTGAGAGAAAAGGATAGACCAATAAATTATAGTTTATTAGTCCATGGGACTATGGTATATTGGTGACAGGACAAGGAATACTTTAACAACGATCAGCGATTTTCGAGAAGAAAATGGTCTTTGTTTCCAAATAAAGGCTACGTGTAATAATTCAGAGTCAATGCCAATAAGTAACAAAGTAACAGCTAGATATTATGGTGAGTAACAGTTACAGCGTACCTAGCACAAAGTGGTTACGCAACACGAATTTTAAGCGAATCCAATGTTGCATACGCATGCTTATGTGGCGTCAAGAGAAATGTATTCAGGAAACCAATGCCATCACCTTTACTTTTGTCCAAGTAATCGTGTATCTTTGTTTTCAAAGTAATTCAAAGTGATATGATTGAGGTATCTCATTAATTTGTTGACTGGTTTACTGAATTATTAAGTTTTCTACTAGCCTCTGCGGGGTTCCGTGAGATAAAAGTAACCTATTTGTTATTCCAGACGAATATCTAGCCCTGTTTTAAATTTCACCAATCAATTAACTCGTTGAGTACCGTCATTATAGTCACAATTATAGAACAATAGGTTGCGGTTACCGGTGACCGCTTGGTGTTTGACAGTTTAATGTATTAAACATACATACAAACAAATAAACTTTCACATTTATAATAACAAGTAAGATAGGTCTTGTTTTTTTAAAGGGGGAAAATCATCGGATGACTTCTCGCGCCTCGGTGCGGCGGGAGGGAGTGTCAGACTATTACTGACTAAAAGCCATAACGTTCCTACTCCTGCCCTTCGAGCCAGAGCCCCGGTTTACCCCGTTATGTCCTCCGCGGCTAAGTAAGGTCTTCGTCCACCATATTATTTTGTACAACGACGTCTGTTCTTGCTAAATAATGTCTCATTTATTTAGCTGTCCATGACTAATAAGTAGTGATTAGGTTAAAACATTAAACCATTTTAGTAATTTTGTCTTCTCTCTTTGCTGTCATTCTGTTTATAATCGCTGTAGTCTGCACTTCAATCTTCATAATAGTCCATTAAAGTCATTTTCCCTTTCCATATCAAGAACGAGAAATCCAAGCATAAACTACAACGAGTAGGCATGTAGTACTTTCAGCTTATCATACGGATCGAAACAGTTTGTACTTCGCAATTTAAATTTATGAACTGAAAAGTGAATTCAGACCAAAACGTATTAAAAAGTTACACAACTATACATTTTATTGTCATATTGCAAGAGATTTAAAAATAAAGGTGCTAAAATTTCGTTCAACGAGCGATTTTTGTGTAAAACAAGTTTCAACGAATCTGGTTTAGTAAAATTTAAATAAAAAACGTTAGCATACAATGTAATAAAATGATTGGCAATGACGTAACTACTTTCACTTTCCTAACATTCTAGATAATCTAGGTGAAGTTACAAATGTTATGTGCGGCTCGCGGACTATGAAACCCGAGAAGCAAAAACTTAAAATAGGTTTTTAAGGGGTTCATTTAGAGTTGAGATTTGCGTGTTAATCCTATCTAATTGGCCATGATTTTTTTGTCTGTGTCAATCATCTTTCACTGGCGATGCCTTCTCTTTAAGTATGATTTAAAGACTTAAATATAATGTGCC